AATAAGGGGAGTACCCTGTCGAATCATGTTTAGTGTAATTATATGCATGCACTAAAGCCAGCAAATAGGCCTTCCAGTTTCGCTTCTGGATTGCTGTAAATTTTCCATCATATTCAATAATGTCCGATACATTCACTCCACTGCGAATTGCCTTGTGGGTGGTACAGCGTAGTTCTACACTTTTCAATACCCAGAATCACACAAAGTTCTTGTACAATGCGAGATTCGAAATTACGTCCTTGATCTGAGTGCACATAATGCACAATGAAATGGTTGGCAAGGTACGCTCACCAGGATATAATGGTGGGTCTTCCAACTGTGTTGGTATGGCTTGAGCAGTATGCGCTATCGCCTCAATCCATGGACTGTCATCGCTAGATTCATGCAATTGTCTAATCGCTTTCATTTCGTCAGTATCGATAGAGGTTGTATTAACAAATCTCATCGCGCCTTCTCAAAAAGGAGTCGATCGAGGTTTTGGTCGTCTTGAAAGAGCATCAGCGTCGATGATATTTCTTCCAGGCCTGTAGTATACATCAAAGTCTAATTTTGCTAATGCTGCATTCCACCTCTGCCCTGTCGCATCAAGTTTAGCAGTCGTCTTCACGTACGTTAAAGGATTATTGTCTGTCAGAACTTTTACTTTGTGTCCATAACAATAGTCGCAACATTTCTTCGTAATGGCCCACTTCAAGGCGAGAAATTCCAAACAGTGAGCTGGGTAATTTTTCTCGCTTGCTGATAAACTTCTACTCGCATAGCGATAGTCGTAGTCGCTCCTTGCCATCTACAATATGGGTTTCGTAAAATGCCACACCAATTCCCATGAGACTTGCATTAGTGTGCAATTCAAATGGTCGATGGTAGTTCACATATGCTAACACTGGTGGGGTACAAAATCACTCAATAAGCGTGTCAAAGGCATGTTGGCACTTGATTGTCCATATGTAAGGTGGAACCTCATTAGAATCATCGCGTCTTTGTTGTATGTCCCGCAGTAAGTCCGTGTAGGGGTTTAGCAATACTGAAGTAACCTGGTATGAAACATTGGTAATAGCCTGTGAAACCCAGAAACGTACGTAGTTCACAAACTGAAATGGGAACTGGCCAACTTCTCAAAGCTTCAGTCTTATCGGGGTCATCTTCAATACCATTCCTAGATACAATGTGCCCTAGGTATTTCACACGACCAGAAAAACAACTGACATTTCGTGTGTTTGATCTTAAGGTTCACATCATGCAAACGTTGCAAAACCTTCTCCAGTCGCTCAATATGTTCATTGAATCTCTCAGAAAAAACAATCACATCGTTATAATAAGCCT